CCCCACCTCGAAGGCGCGCCAGTCAGCCATCTTACAGCTGGCGCGCCACGCGGGCCGCGCGCGCGGCGCGCCGATTCGGCGGGCGCGCCTGGGCCAGAAGGACTGCGGCAGCCCGTTGAGCGCCGGCCGTTGCGCAATTCCCCCCTTGCCAGGTTAACGCGCGTGGTGGCCCAGCGCGTCGCGCGCCAAAACGCGGGCGCGCGCCTGGCGTGGCGCCTTTCCTCCGAGGACGCACTGGCGCTGGGCCTCATCTTCTGCGCCTCTGCAATGCACTTGACCAAGAACACCCTTTTCCCGGCCGCAATTGCCGCGTCGGCGTCAAAGTCCACCGGCGTTACCTGAGCTAGGACCTCAACAGGCCCGATCTCTTGCCGTTCGCAGATCTGCGCCGCGGCCCCGAGCCATTCGGGCGGCGCGGCGCGGCCCCGCGCCGACGCCAGCGAGAAGATCGCGCGCCGAGGGCATCGCGGCAGAACAACGCAAAACGGCGCGCGTCATATGCGACTTTGCTAACGCGCGCCTCTCTGCGGCGCGGCCGAAGCGGCGGGGGCGCCCGACGCCGCGGCGGGCGATGAAGTGCGCGCGCGCAAGTCACGGGACGCTTTGCGGCCCTCTTGCCGGCGTCGGCCAGCAATGGGCCGCGGCGAGGCGGCAAAGGCCCGCGCGACAGAGCCCCGCCGTAAGCCAGAGGCGGAGACGCAACGGATGGGACACGGCATGGCCCAACTGTCCGCGCTGGCCAGTCGCGGGCCGCGGCGAGACCAAACGAGCCCTTGCCACAGAGGCCAGCAATAGGCCTGGGGCAGATCGAGCACAGACGCGACACTGCATGGTCCGTCTGTCCCTCTTGAACAGTAATAGGCCGCGGGGAGGGCGAGAGAGCACTTTTGCCGCGGTGGCCAGTAATCGGCTCGTGGCGGGTCAATTACAGACGTGACGCTGCATGGTCCGTCAGTCCCTCGTGGCCAATAATAGGCCGCGGGGAGGGCGGATGAGCCCCTGCCGCAGATGCCATCAGTAGGCCTGAGGCTGAACGAACGCAGACGGGACACTGCATGATCCGTCCGTTCCCTTTTTGGCCAATGGTAGGCCGCAGGGGGGGCGAGAGAGCCCGTGCCTCAGGAGGCCAGTGGTAGGCCCGTAGCAGATTGAACATGACGGGACACAATATGGTCCGTCACGCGCACTGGCCAAGAATAGGCCGCGGCACGGGCAGAGGAGCCTCTGCGCAGAGGCCAAAAGTAGGCTTGAGGCAGATCGGGCTCAGACGAGACACTGCGTGGTCCGTCTGTCCCCCTTGGCTGGCAGTGGGCCGCGGGAAGGGCGAATGAGCCCTTACCTCAGAGGCCAGTAGTGGGCTCGAAGCGGAAGCGCGAGGACCGCGAGGAGGAGGGAGTCCGCAACACCTTTTGTTGGAGACTGCGAGCGCGCGCCCCGACGCTCCAGTTTGCCCCCGCGCCCAAGCGCCGCGCGCGCCGCGCGCCCCCGCGAGGCGGCGCGGAGGCTCCTGGCCAGGCCGAAAGGGCCAGGTGGCCTCCCACTCACATGGGGACATAGCCCGCTCGCGCATCTTTATCAGGCGGATGCTACCAATGGGCACTTTAGCGAAGCCCATGATTTGGCGGCGATCATCGAGAGGTAGGCCGAGCGCCGCGTGGTCCAGGGCGAACCGCATGTTCGCCCTGACCACCTCCAGCTTGCCTTGCTTGTCGTCGCGCCACTCGTCCAGAGGCGGCGCGGGCATGACCTGGGGCGGGCCCCTGGGCGCGGGCCACTTGGGGCCTGCCCCGCGGTCAGCAGGCGCGCGAGTTTTTCCCGCGCCTGCGCCGAACGCGCGACCGCAGTCGCGCTGCGCGTGAGAACCGCCGCGCGCGCCTCCAGGCCTTGACCAGGCTTGCCCGCCATTGCAGAGGGCCCAGAATCGCGAAACATGACAGCACAAAAACGCAGCGAAGCAGCGTCCGCGCCGCGAAGCGCGCAGCGATCTCTTGGCGCGCGGCAGGCGAGCTGCAGTGCTGCGCACAAGCAGCGGTCGCGGCCGCTTTCGCGTGCGAGCGAGCAGCGCAGCACAGGCGCCCGGGCGCCCCAGGGGGCGGGCCCCTGGGCCGCATAAAAAGAACCAGTTTTCGAGCTGGGCAAAACAGACGAGGGAACGCGGTACCTGCGGAGGGAGGGCGGGTGGGAAGGAGATGAACCTGCGCACGACGGACGCGAGACGGAGGCCGGCGCGCGCGCGCGGCGCGCGGCGACTAGGGCGCGCGCGCGGGCGGGCGCGCGCGGAAAGAGGGGGGGGGACGGGCCAGCAGGAAGCACGAGGGCAGCAGGAGAGAACGAGGAGGGGGGCGAGAGGAAGGAAGGGAGAGGAGAGAAGGAGCACGGGGGAGGGGGAGGAGAGGGAGAGAAAGGAGAGACAAGAATGAAGAAGGAGAAGGAGAGAGGAGAGAGACAGGAAAGGAAGAGAGAGAAACAAGACTGCAGCGGGCCTGCCCGTCCTGCAGATAATCGCGGTCGCCTGCGCGGCGTCGCGGCGCGCGCTCGCCCCCGTCGGGCCGCGCGCGCACCTGCGACGAACGTCTGCGCAGCGAGGGCACGCGCGCGCGGACCTGCCCCGCGCGCGCGCGCGCCTGCCAAGCGAACCACGTACACCTGCAGGACGCGCACCGCACGGGCGTGCCTGCTGGCCGCGCGTGGCCTCCTGCTGCACCCCCCCAAGGATTGCGCCCACGAACTAGGCCAGCTTGTGCGTCCACCACTGTGCCGCCGGGGGCGCGGGGGAAGGGGCGGGGGGAGGCGGGTGTGCGACGCGGAATGAATAAAGCGTTCGTGCCGGAAGGGGCAATGGGCGGGGCCCCCACAGGGGCGCTGGGGACGCGGGGCGGCTCGGGGCAGAGGGCCGCGGAGCGGGGGCCCCACTGCGGCGCTGGGGGCCCGGGGGGGGGGGGCGGGGGCAGGTGGGTGTGCGACGCGGAATAAAGTGGTCGGAACTCTACACACCTTGTGCAAGAGAACTAAATTACGCTACCGCGGAACCCCACATGCTTATAATATGTCTGGAGTGATGACAGCTGAAGTGAAACATGCGAAAATGATGCTGGTGGCCGTTGCCCCGCCGATACCGTTGGGCACGCCGGCCAAGCCTTGGGAGACTGACGCCGCGATGAGAAACCACCCCCTGCGCATCCCCCATGGTGTCGAGAAAGAGCCACGTTTGCTGTGCATGGTCGACTGGGGCGTATATAGAAACCGCGGTGAGAGACCGCCCCCTGCGCACCCTTATGGTGTCGAGAAGGTGCCACGCCTGCTGTGTTTGGACGACTGGGCCGTATAGAGACCGCGGTGAGAGACAACCCCATGCGCACCACCTATGGTGTCGAGAAAGTGCCACGCTTGCTGTGCCTGGACGACCGTGCGCATACGTCCTGGGTGTATGATGCAGTGAACGCGCCAAGCGTGTACTGGCGTTGAATGTAGTGTACGTGTGTGCGCGTGTGACTGCATGCGAATTGTGTCTTGTGTGCCTTGTGCAGGTGTATGATGTGGGTGTGTGCGGCTGTACGTGGACGCGTGTCTCAATGTGGGTATGGTGCGTGTACGGCTTCATGTGGACGTGCGTATCATGTGGATGCCCAGTACATTGCGCATGCGACTTGATCTATTATACAATAGACACGCCAGACGCACACTGGCGTCGTATGGTGCGTGGGGGCGTGTGTGCACGCGTGCGGCTGCATGTAGACGCGTGTCTCATCTACGTGCCGTGCATGTTTTGCGCGTGGGTGGGGTGAGAGAGGAAGAAGAAGTGAGGAGGGAGGAAGTGTTGGATTGCGACGCGGTTGAAGCACATAGCTTGTCAGCAAGTGGAGGAGGGAGGAGGGAGGGAGGTAAATGTGTGTGTGTGTGTGTGCGATGGAGACGCGGGCGGGACGCGGGAGAGAAGAAAACCAAAACTCCACTAAACATATAGGGAAAAATATCGAACGACAATGGCCTCGCCAAACATTCTCTAACATCTCGAACGGAACACCAAAAGCTTGTTGACGACGTGATGAAGGATCAGGTGGGGAGGAGCGACCAAAGGGTGCTAATATGGAAACGAGCAGCAGAACAGCCAACGCGCCGCGGGTGCGTCAACATTGCGCCATGCACGCAGGCCCGAGATTTCGGACCCTCGGACACAAAAAGGGCGGCGATGGCGCTGAACACACGCAGCGGTGCGAACGGGCAGGACGATCAGGAATAAGATGGAATAGTAAGAAGAGGCCCAAACGAAAGGCGAGGCGGAGGCCGCGGCGAATATGGCCCTCCCCGCCCCATGCAACGAGGTTACCGCCACACGGCCGACGAAAGCTGCAACACAAGCCCTTCTGGTGAAATGAGTAGGTTAGCCCTCAAGAGAAGCTGGCTGTCTGGAGGAGGAGGAGGACGACGAGGAGGAGGAGGAAGGGGAGGAGGAGCCACAGCATCGATGATGACTCCGTCTTTCTCGCCCTACCGCGTGCGCAGATCGGCGGTCATCTTCGCGCTCAGCGAACCCCTCCCGATCGCGCGGACCTCCGCAGGGGGGCATCACTACAAGGGAATTGTTATTTGCCTCGGCATGCAGCGCTCCGTGGTATGGAAGAACACCACCGCGAAACGCAGGCTGGCCTCCGACGGAACATCGGATGCCGGCCTGTGGAGGGAATCCTTGGCCAGAAACGTCCCGCCATGCTTTCGGGCCCCCAGCTCCCCGAGACGAGGAACAGGAGAAGGAGGAGGCGGAGGAGGAGAAGGAGGAGGAGGAGGAGGCGGGAGAAGGAGGCGGCGGAGGAGGAGACGAGGAATAGGAGGAGGAGGAGGAGGAGGAGGAGGAGGAGGAGGAGGAGGGAGGCGGAGGCGGAGGAGGAGGAGGAGGCGGGAGAAGCAGGCCACGAGCGGGGAGGCGCTGCGAAGATGGAGAGGAGGCGGGGCAAGAGCATATAACCACTTCGCCCCCCCCCCCCCACCCCGGCGCGCGCCGCCTCCTGCCGGGCAGTGCCCTGGACAGGCCGACGAGCACCCGGGCACCGCGCTCGCCACCTCCCCCCCGGGCGGCCAACGGAGGCGCGCGGGCGCCGCTGCTCGGCTTCGGCGCGCTCTTGGATTTATCCCGATCCTGGCCCTGTTTTAAACAGGGCTAGGATCGGGATAAACCGCTCCAGAGCGTTCCGGAGCGCTCTCAGAGCGTTCCGGAACGCTCTGGAGCGGCCGCGGCGCGCAATACATCCTCCAAACCCGCCGATTCTCAGAGATTTCGAGTTATCCCGATCCGATGTTGTCCCGATCTTCGCGTCGTTTTACGGAAGGGCGGGCGCGGGGAGCACGAGGGCGTTGGGCCCCTGCGGGGCCCCAGAACCCGGCCCCCCCAGATCGGCGCGTTCCCCCCAAACGCTGGACACGACATTCCCAAGGTAGGTCCGATCAGCGGAGAGTGCGCGCATACCCACTGGGAGGCACGGCGAGAGGGACACGCGGCCTGTCGAGGGGAGCTTCTGCCCAAATGCTGCACAATCCACGCCCCGGCACGGACGCTTCCGCACATCATCGCAAGTAGTAGAGGCTCTGACGCAAAACGCTCCACATCGCAGCGTGTACCAGGGGCAAAACACATCGCACGCATGGGTAATTGCAAGAACGCAACTTAAGGTCAGCATAGCCTCGACAGCAACGTTCGATTCAAAAGGTCTCGGGGCTTCGGCCGAGAGGGTGGCTTCCTGCTCTCCGAGCAGGATGTACGTGTCCCCGCCGATGAAGGAGTTGGTAGAGCTTGAATAGCAGGGGAAGGCGGAAGCAAACCGTCCCCACGTCCACGTCCTCCGGGTGGCTGTCCGCGTGCGGACCCCGGGCCGACGAGGACGGACAGCTGCCATGCAAAATGTACAACCTGGGGCTCAACAAAGAGGGGTAGGGAAGCGGCCCTGACTGGCCCCCCCCCCCGGCCGGGACCCCCGGAGGAGGGAGAGGAGGAGGAGGAGGAGGAGGAGGAGGAAGAGGAGGAGGAGGACAGAGGGCCAGAGAGGAAGAAGGGAAGGGGGGGGTCCCGACCGGAAGGGGGGGCCAGCCAGGGGAAGAGGAGGGACGTCGTGTCACGTGCTGACACGTGTGCTGTCACATGCAAGCGTGATGCGCTGACACGTGTGCTGTAGCGACATGGCGCCGTCGCGGCAGGCGGCGCAGGCTGACTCGGGGCCCAGGCCCCAGGCGGTGGCTAACGAGCGGAAGGAGGCGGGTCGAGGGACCAGGGGAGGCTCAGGAGGCGGGGACAGGAGAGGTAGTGGGGAAACGCGTCAGCGTCCTGGGGGCAGCCGAAGACGCACGTCCTCGGCGCCAGCACGTGCATTCTGGCAGTAGTGCCAACGCCAGTTCGGGCGGAGCCCCTGGAGGGCCCAGGACAACGATCCCCACCGTGCGGAGAGCGCTTCGGGAGGCGGCAACTGCATGCCCCAGGACCCGAGGCGCTTCGCGAGCGTGACGGTAAAGGGCGATGCAAAGCTGGAATGGCGGAGCGTGCGGGCGATCGCGCGCTGCACGCGGGCGCGGCGCTGCGGGTCATCGGCTGCTGCTACCGTGACCTCGGCGTGGCCCGCTTAGTGAGCGTCGCGGATCACGTGGAAAGGGAAGATGCCGCAGCGCTGGCCAGAGCAGAAATATAACTACACTAGTGAAATGGGCTGTGCGCAGAACGGCGGCGATCAGTGTCCGCTGTTCCAGCGATGGAAGTTGCGGGCAATGCTTTCGCCACACGCAATGCCGCGCAGACGAACAAAGAAATCCTCACAGTCGCCGTGGGGCGTGGCAGAAACGGAACGCATAGCGGCGGCGACGTTGACGACCTGCAGCGAGGCTGGGACAAAGGGCTGGGGCCCAGTCGGCCATCGCTATGAAATCAACTTTGCGGAACGAAATGGGAGGCATAGACAGCATGTTGTGAAACATGCAGAGCTCGCGGCGCACGGTGGACTGCTCGATTGGAAAGAACTGCGCAAGGAAAGAACTGCGCTACGTAGCTCAGCGTGGGGAGGACAGATGTGAAAAATAAGCGAACGGTGGCGTGGCTGCCAGACTGCACGAGCTGCAGAAGCTTACCCCGCTGCCACCATGTTCGTCCTGGGGTGTGCCACTCGTCTGAAAGAGACGCTGGTGGGCCCAAGAAGGCCCCGAAGTACTTGGCACGCCCCGTGATCGAGAACTCGCTCCAAGAAGGGGCAAACACGGAACGCAAGGAACGGGTGTGGGCAATGGTGGCGGGGTTGGCAGCATCCCCGAGCGGGGCGACCACGCATTTTCAGGGGTTCAGAGAGAGCAACGCGAGATACTCAGCGGCGGCGAAAGGCTCAGCAACACGGCTCACCAGCTCCAAATTGCTGCACAGGGAGAGTCAGGTCGTCAGCGCAAGCGCCCGCGTAGCCGAGGGACGGATCGGGAGTGCCATCGGCGTTCTCGGCGAAGGAGGCGATGCGGCGCACCAGAGGATTCATTGCAACCGCCCGCGCTGGCCCACTGGCAAGGCAACCCTGGGCAACGACAGACTCGATGGCGCACATGATGAGGGTGCCGTCGACCTTGACAGACGAGGACGAGGCGAAGTACATGGCGCGGTGGACGTGAGCAGGCCATCAAGGATGCCGAAGTGCTTGCGCGACGCGAACAGCCAGGCCTTGCCTAGCGACGGGAACACGGCGGCGAAATCGAAGCTGGTGACGATCAGGAAGCGGTTAATGCGGTCGATCAGGAGGCCAGCGCGACGCATCTCAGCATCGAGGCGAACGCTGCGTTCGGTGACATCGCGGCCCACGACGAAGTTCTCTGCTGCCCCTCGCGAGCCCGCTGTGCGACGTACCATTTTTCCCAACCACCCTGTGGTGTTGGGTCCTCGTTTTGAAGAGGCAGCGCCCCGCGTCCCACCTTCCTCCTTCCTCCTTTTCCCCCTCCTCCCTCCTCCTCCTCCTTGCCTCTGCTCTCGGCACACCTCTCACGCGCTTCGTAGCCCCATAGGGAGCTCCACCGAAGCCTCAGCGGTTGCTCTCGCATGCGGTCCCCCCACTCAGGGCAGCGTTTCATGGCCCCATAGGGAGCTCCACCGAAGGCCCCAACGGCTGCTCTCGCATGCGGTTCCCCCCCACCCAGGGCAGCGTTTCGTGGCCCCATAGGGAGCTCCACCGAAGGCCCCAGTGGCTGCTCTCGCATGCTGTTCTCCTACACAGGGCAACGTTTCGTGGCCCCATAGGGAGCTCCACCGAAGGCACCAGTGGCTGCTCTCTCATGCGGTTCCCCCGCCCAGGGCAGCGCTTCGTGGCCCCATAGGGGGCTCCACCGAAGGCCCCAGCGGCTGCTCTCGCATGCGGCTCCCCCCACCAAGGCCAGTGCTTCGTGGCCCCATAGGGAGCTCCACCGACGGCCCCCGTGGCGCAGTTCGCATGCGGTTCCCCCACTGAAGGCAGCGTTTCGTGGCCCCATAGGGGAGCTCCACCGAAGGCCCCAGTGGCTGCTCTCGCACACGGTTCCCCCGCCCAGGGCAGCGCTTCATGGCCCCATAGGGAGCTCCACCGAAGGCACCAATGGCTGCTCTCGCATGCGGTTCCCCCACCAAGGCCAGCGCTTCGTGGCCCCATAGGGAGCTCCAGCGAAGGCCCCAGTGGCTGCTCTCGCACGCGGTTCCCCCACCCAGGGCGACGTTTCGTGGCCCTATAGGGGAGCTCCACCGAAGGCCGAGTGCTCTCGCATGCGGTTCCCCCACCCAGGGCAGCGCTTCGTGGTCCCATAGGGAGCTCCACCGAAGGCCCCAATGGTTGCTCTCGCATGCGTATCCCCCGCCCAGGGCAGCGTTTCGTGGCCTCGGCCCCACCGAAGGCCCCAGTGGCTGCTCTCGCATGCGGCTCCCCCCACCCAAGGCAGCGCTTCGTGGCCCCATAGGGAGCTCAACCGAAGGCCCCAGTGGCTGCTCTCGCATGCGGTCCCCCCGCCCAGGCCATCGCTTCGTGGCCCCATAAGGAGCTCCACCGAAGGCCACAGTGGCGCAGTTCGCATGCGGTTCCCCCCGCCCAGGGCAGCGCTTCGTGGCCCCATAGGGAGCTCCACCGAAGGCACCCGTGGCGCACTTCGCATGCGGTTCCCCCGCCCAGGGCAGCGCTTCGTGGCCCCATAGGGAACTCCACCGAAGGCCCCAGTGGCGCAGTTAGCATTGCGGTTCCCCCGCCCAGGGCAGCGCTTCGTGGCCCCATAGCGAGCTCCACCGACGGCCCCAGTGGCGCAGTTCGCATGCGGTTCCCCCACCGAAGGCAGCGCTTCGTGGCCCCATAGGGAGCTCCATCGAAGGCCAGTGGCGCAGTTCGCACTGCGGTCCCCCCGCCCAGGGCACCGCTTCGTGGCACCACAGGGAGCTCCACCGACGGCCCCCGTGGCGCAGTTCGCATTGCGGTTCCCCCGCCCAGGGCAGCGCTTCGTGGCCCCATAGGGAGCTCCACCGTAGGCCCGCCCCAGTGGCGCAGCTCGCATGCGGTCCCCCCACACAGGGCAGCGCTTCGCGGCCCCATAAGGAGCTCCACCGAAGGCCCCAGTGGCATTGCGGTTCCCCCACCCAGGGCAGCGCTTCGTGGCCCCATAGGGAGCTCCACCGAAGGCCCCAGTGGCGCAGTTCGCATGCTGTTCCCGTACCCAGGGCAGTTCGCATGCAGTTCCCCCACCCAGGGCAGCGCTTCGTGGCCTCATAGGGAGCTCCACCGAAGGCCCCAGTGGCGCAGTTCGGATGCGGTTCCCGTACCCAGGGCAGCGCTTCGTGGCCCTATAGGGAGCACCACCGAAGGCCCCCTCTGGCGCAGTTCGCATGCGGTTCCCCCCACCCAGGGCAGCGCTTCGTGGCCCTATAGGAAGCTCCACCGAAGGCCCCAGTGGCGCACTTCGCATGCGGTTCCCCCGCCCAGGGCAGCGCTTCGTGGCCCCATAGGGAGCTCCACCGAAGGCCCCCGTGGCGCAGTTCGCATTGCGGTTCCCCCGCCCAAGGCAGCGTTTCGTGGCCCCATAGGAAGCTCCACCGAAGGCCCGCCCCAGTGGCGCAGTTCGCACGCGGTTCCCCCGCCCAGGGCAACGCTTCGTGGCCCGATAGGGAGCTCCACCGAAGGCCCGCCCCAGTGGCGCAGTTCGCATGCGTTTCCCCCACCCAAGGCAGCGTTTCGTGGCCCCATAGGATGCCCCACCGAAAGCGGCACCCACAACGCGTTACGAACAATTGCTTATGGTTGGGTTCTTCGCCAGGATGATTTTTCAGGGAGTGGTTGGCAGCGACAGCCAAGGCTTTGATGTCCGCGTTCTGCAGCGAGAGAGAGGGCGCATGTCCTCGGGGGCCCTGTCCGTAGCGAGCTCCCTCGAGAGGCTCTCGCCCCTCGGCAGGTCGGCGAAGGCGGACTCCTTCAGGCCCCGCGGGATCGCCGGGCCCGAGCAGAGGAAGAGGGAGAGGTCCTTCAGGATGTCGAGGGAGCGGTCGTTCGGGTGTTGCTAGAAGTACCTCTGGCCCAAGGTGCCCCCAGCATGTCTCTCCATTCTGGAGCCCCTGGAGCCCTCTGGGCCTCGTGAGGGGTGCTCTGGAAACCGCTTCGGGCACCCCTATGGAATCCTGGGGGCACCTTGGCCCCGGGGCACTTCTAGCAACACCCGAGCCGTGGGCGAGCCACGAGTTGCACGGCAGGCGGTCGGGGCCGTGGCGCCGACGGAGGGGCGCGGGGGAGCAAGGCTTCGAATTGGCGCTTGCTCGGGGCGCCGGCGTCTCGCTGGCCGCCGCGAGGCATGCGTTGCTCGACGCGCTGCTGCACCCTGGTGTTGTCGACCACCTTCGCGGCGAAGACGGGTTCCCAGTGCGCGCGCAGGGCGTCGACCACGGCGCAGCTCTCTCTGCCCGTCTCTGTGGAGCGGTCCTGGGGGCCCTGGACCCTGATTCCCTGGAGGACAAGACGGCGCTTCTCCGGGTCCAAGAGGAGCGCTCGTGTTGGGGAAGCTCGAGTGAGCCTGCGGAGACGCCCCTGGGGGCTACGTGCGGCGCTCTGAGCCAGAGAGCACTGGTGAGCCTCGGAGTCGCGGAGCAGGGAGGCCGAGAGGCTGACGAACAGGGCGGGATTCTCGATGAAGATGATGCCGTCGGTGATGAGCACGAACTGCTTTCCGATGTCGGTGGTTGACTGGATGCGCCTGGCGAGGGCGATGTCCTGGCGCCATACAGCCCTGGAGATGGAGCGCATGCTGAGGACGCGGCCGTCGAGGTAGCCGGGACGGGCGACGTCGCCCGAAGATAGGCGAACCCAGTCATCGCGGACCAAGCGAGCGGCTTCTGCCATGAGGCGCTTGTGGGATCGCCGGCGGTTCTCCATGGGGACGTGGGCGGTGCCTGAGGCGCCAATGAGCTGCTGAAGGAGGAGGAGGAGGAGGAGGAGGAGGAGGAGGAGCAGGAGAAGGAGAGCAGGAGAAGGAGCAGGAGGAGAAAAGGCAAGGAGGGGGCGAGGGGAATCCGAGGCGGAGGGGGGCGAGGATGGTGCCGGAGCGTCCAGCACGAGTCTGGGATGCCTCCAAGCGGCGCCCGCCGCCGTCCTGGCGCCCGCAGTCGGAGTCCTCGTCCTCCTCGCACTTCCGCTGCCCCGAGTCCCCCGCCGAGAGTCTCGAGAGCATCGAGGCCCCTCGCACCTCGGCCCCGACCCCCCTCGGTACTCTTGCGCCGTTGCGAGCTGCCCCGACGAGGCTTCGCAGGCGCCCGTGTCGCGAAGACGCACGACCACTCAGCGAAAACGCGCGGGGCGCAAGCGAAACAACACGAGGACGCGCGACAACGGTGCGACAACCCGCGCGGGCCTAAAACACGGCAACGCGCGAAGATGGTGCGAAAACGCGCGCGGCGCCCGAACAAACGCGCGCGCACGCGCGCGCGCTCGGCCTTGCCCTCCGCCTGCCCCCTCCGACCCTTCGATCGGGCATGTCCCCCTACAGGCGGGATTTACACGAAAACCACAAATACCCCCAAAATGCCCCCCAAATGCTAGAAACATCTCAAAAATCGTCCCCCGCCTACGCACCCCCGAAGCGCTCGATCGCGGCCTCCGTAGCGGCAGGCCTCCGCAATGGCCGAGCGCGTTTTCGACCGTGTTCGCGCTTTCTGTTGGGGCGCGAGCGCGTGCTTTCGCGCAGTCTTCGCGCGTGTTCGCGAAACTGGCGCCTGCCATGCCTGTTCGGAGCTCCTCGGGACGGCAATCCGAGAACTCTGAAGCTCCGAGGCACCCGGAGCGGCGCCCCGCGCAAACCTGCGCCCCTCCACAGCAATGATGGCCGTGCAGCCGCGTGGGCGGGCCAACAGGAAAAGCTCGCGCACGCGGAGCGCATCGAACGAAGTTTGTGGGCGGGCCTAGACACAAGGATGGTGAAACAGCGGGTGGGCCTCTGACTTGCACGCCAGCAGGCGGAAAGCGCTGTTGAATTCAAACGTGTGGGTGGGGAGTGGGTAACGAACAGAACCCGACCATGTTTTTTGGCAGTGTTTCTACCGTTGCTGAGTATCGTTTGACCGATCCCCATCCCCAGCGGCGTGGCCTGGGCCCCACTGGCCGATTTACCCCCCCAGATGGGGATACAGGTCATTCCCTTCGGGTTTCGAGGGGTGTATCCCCAACTGGGGTGGCAAGTTGGTGGGAGTCTCGAAGGGGATGGGGATGGGGATGGGGATCGGTTCAACGATACTGAGTTGCGCGAGGCTGCGGGCGGGGGGCGGCCCGCCGGGGGGGAGGCGGGGAGGGCGCGGGCCCTGTCGTCTGCCCGTCGTCTGCGCTGCCGCGGCCTCGCCTCGCCACCCCCGCTGCCGCCGTCGCGCCGCGGCGGCGGCGGGCGCGCCGGGGGGGGAGGCGGGGAGGGGGCGGCGGCGGCGGCGCGGCGAGAGGCCCGCTCTGGGCGCAAAGGGCGGGTGGCGGGACCTGAAAAAGGAGGAGGAGGAGGAGGGGGGAGGAGGAGGAGGAGGAGGAGGAGGAGGAGGAGGGAGGAGGAGGGAGGAGGAGGAGGAGGAGGAGGAGGAGGAGGAGGAGAGGAGGAGGGAGGAGGAGGAGGAGGAGGAGGAGGAGGAGGGGGAGGAGGAGGAGGAGGAGGAGGAGGAGGAGGAGGAGAGGAGGAGGAGGAGGAGGAGGAGGAGGAGGAGGAGGGGGAGAGGAGGGGTTGGCGGAGAGAGGGCAGCCTCAAGTCGGGCCTGTCCTCCTACAGGGGGATTCTGGGCGAAAAATAAAACATACTCCAAAAGGTACTCCAGATTTCGTAATAAAGGGAGGGAGGTCTCATTTCGGGGGGGTCTCTTCCAGGCTATCTTGGAGGGCCTAGGGGGGTCTGGGGACGATGTTTTGGAGGGTTCTCCCACGGGGGAGGTCTGAAATGGCTTGTCCTGGAGGGTCCAGACCCCCTCCCTTTTATTACGAAATCTGGAGTACCCCCAAATGGTCAAGCAATGCCTAATACATCGTTATCCTACTATTTGTTTTGACTACGTGTTTTGAATATTCCTCCTGTGGAGGGACGTGCCCGACTTAAGGGTAGCCTCCACCTTCCCCGCCGCCCGCAAGAGCGACTGTCGCGCAGCGGACTCTCGGCGCCGAGCGTTTGGGCTGCCTCAGGGTGATGCCGAGAATCACACAACTTCGATTTGGCCCGAGATCGGTTCGACTGCCTTGCGCGCGCATTGTTGCGTCCGCTGTTCCATCCGTGCGTGATCGCCGCCGTTCCGATTCACATGAGGTTTTCTTGTGTTTCCAGCTGCGTCGTGTAAAACACTTGGCGGGACTTGTTCTCGGTTGGTCTTGGTGGCTCCTTTCGCTAAGACTTGGTTCGGGAGCTGTTTGAAGCTGCGCTTTGTCTTTCACGAGCCGCGTTCGGGCTGGAATTGATTATTTCGGCAGGTTCGACATATGGTGTTGTTTGATCACATCTGAAAGCCCAATATCGCTCAGTTCTGACATGACGAACATGAAAACGGCGCCTAGACATTGAACAACACGCGTGCGTTTTTTAGCGGGTGGGGCAACACCAAAATGCCCCTGATTCCGACATGCGAAAACACCGTGTGCGCCCGCCACCCCCTGCCATTCAAGCTCCATCAGGAGGTGTGGAGCGGAGGGTGGAGGACGCACCTCGAGGGGTCGGGGAGGGTCATCCAGCATTGGAGATAGGGTCCAGCACGGGGTAGCAAATCAACCTACAATGACTTAGACCACTGGCTGGCGAGTTCGGCGGACATGGCCGATAGCCCCTGCCTCTTTCACGGTGTCCCTGTCTGCCACGGCTTGGCGGGGACATCCAGCCGCGCCGGATCATCCCTCCACAAGGCACAACAACACGGCGCAGCAAGCCTGAGCCTCCTGCGGCTCCCTCCCGAAGCGCACAGCTGCTCAGGGGTGAGCCCCAGAGAGGGAAGCAGATGGGAGGAGGAAGGGGGAAGCAGGATGCAAGAGGGACGGCGGACAAAAGGGCAGCACCAAGGAGCAGCAGGAGGAGGAGGAGGGGGAGAGATAGAGCAAGGAGGAAGAAGAGAGGGAGGAACGGGTGGCGAGGAATGGACCTCGCTCCTCCTCCTCCTCCGCCCTCCTCCTCCTCCTCCTCCTCCTCCACCCCTCCTCCTCCTCCTCCTCCTCCTCCTCCTCCTCTCCTCCTCCTCCTCCTTCCCTCCTCCCTCCCCCTCCTCCTCCTCCTCCCCCTCCTCCTCCTCCTCCTCCCTCCTCCTCCTCCTCCTCCTCCCTCCTCCTCCTCCTCCTCCTCCTCTCCTCCCTCCCTCCTCCTCCTCCTCCTCCTCTCCCCCCTCCTCCTCCCTCCTCCTCCTTCCCCTCCTCCTGCCAGGGCCGGGTCGGGGCTGCCGCTCCCTCCGCCGCCCCGCCGGCCCACCGCAGAGGCCCCGCAGCAGCCCCCCGCCCAGCAGCGCGAGCGGCAGCCAGCCGCGCCCCGCTCCGCGGCGCGGCCCTGCGGCCGCCCGCCGGCCCCCCCCCTTTGCCGCCTGCCGCCCGCCTCCCGCCGCCCGCGTCCTCCTTCGAGGAGTTCACTGCAGTTAGGGCGAGCGTGTCCCCCTACCAGGCGGACTTGGGACGAGAAATTCAAAAGAGTCAAACATAATCATAAATTATCCCGGCAAAGCAACCTAACAGCGATGTGTAGAAGCATATCTGAAAGCATTCCCCTTAAGATTCAGATGAAAATCCAGTTATAGAATTCTGCTGTTCTCGCAGTCGTAGTCGCATTCGCGATGACAGTCGCAGCGGCAACGGCAGTCGCAGTCACAGCCTCAGCCTCAGCCTGCCTCAGCCTCAGCCTCAGCCTGCCTCAGCCTCAGCCTGCCTCAGCCTCAGCCTCAGCCTGCTTCAGCCTCAGCCTCAGTCTGCCTTCAGCCTCGGCCTCAGCCTCAGCCTGCCTCAGCCTCAGCCTGCATCAGCCTCAGCCTCAGCCTCAGCCTGCCTCAGCATCAGCCTGCTTCAGCCTCAGCCTCAGCCTGCCTCAGCCTCAGCCTCAGTCTGCTTCAGCCTCAGCCTCAGTCTGCCTTCAGCCTCGGCCTCAGCCTCAGCCTGCCTCAGCCTCAGCCTGCCTCGGCCGCAGCATCAGCCTGCCTCAGCATTCAAAATGTGGCCCAGGAATGGAGTTCTGGGAACTAGAAGAACACGAAGTGGCCTACAGTTGGCTCCGGGCATTCAAAATCATGCCCAGGAATGGAGTTCTGGGAACTTGAAGAGCACGAAGTGGCCTACAGTTGGCTCCGGGCATCCAAAATGTGGCCCGGGAATGGAGTTCTGGGAAATCGAAGAGCACGAAGTGGCCTACAGTTGGCTCCGGGCATCCAAAATGTGGCCCGGGAATGGAGTTCTGGGAAGTCGAAGAGCACGAAGTGGCCTACAGTTGGCTCCGGGCATCCAAAATGTGGCCCGGGAATGGAATTCTGGGAGCACCAAGAGCGATTTTGCGAGGATGTCCCAAGCGATTTCGGCTTCGGCGGCAGCTCCCCGGGTCCCGCCCAGACCCCCCTGAGGAGTCATGATGCTCTTTTTTGAGACCACTAGAAACCTATCAGCAAGAGCTGTTAGGTAAATACTCCAGAAGAAAGTCGAAACATCGTCCCCAGACTATTTTCTGACTGTTCTTGAATATTCCTCCTGTAGAGGGACAGGCCCGACTCAACACTAAATCTAGAAGATTTTCCTCATCATTTTGAACCAGGACTCTGTGGGTACATCTTAACATGCCAGCTTACTCACAAAACTACTCGTAAATAGTGATCAGCACTCCCTCCCTTCCCCGCCCGCCCCCCCGGACCTGCCCTTCTCTCATTCGCTCCCTCCGCCCAGTCCGCTCCTCATCTCTCCCGTCCGCCCCTTCCTGCACGGCTGCACACTATGAATGCGGTTTTCCCTCTGTCCCCTGACTCAGTCCAGAGAGTGTCCCGTCCTCTCCGCGCAAGGCTGTTTACACACAAGATGTTATTGTTTGGTTTCTCCGATATGTCTTTTCCATCCGGTCGTTTCTGGCTCTTCCAACAGGTGCTCCCGCTGCAGCGCCGCCCTCATTTCAGCGCTTCTGTCATTGAAAATCGTGCTCCCGCTGAAGCGCTGGCCTCGTTCCCACGCCTCCGGACGGCACTTTGTATTCGAAAGCGCCTACATCGGGCAAGCACGGCTATCGAGGACATGGAGCCGGCATTCTGGACAGGCCCTGTCCTCTCGTAGACGGGCAATTTACCCTCCAAGCCATCCGGTGCCACGCCACGACATTTAATGTGATGCTGTGTTGTGCACCGCTGTGCGATGCCATGCTTTGCGTTGCTATGTTTTGTGATGCGCTGCTTCACTGGGTAATGCCACGGTATGATATGACATGCTATGCTCTGCCGTGCTCTTCTACGCCATGCTTTCCCATCCATCGCGTACCCTCTTGGGATCATTACCCTGCTCGACATCCGACTGCGCGAATAGACAAGATATCTAGGCCATGGCAAGGGATGGGAGAGAGGGGTAGAACGTCAGATGTGACGCTAGCGCACCTAGCTTGCCTAGGTCCCCTCTCTTGGCCTCCCCGCCCCCCTCCTCCCCTTCGCCCTCCCCTGCCCCAGATGTCCATTCCACGCCACCTGCCGTCCACTTCCCTTCGCTGTTCTGTGGCGCTGCTACACCATTCCCCTTTCCTTCCCTTCCCCATCTCCCTTCCCTCCCGCTCCAGATGCCCTCTCTCTCTCTCGTCTCATCCCATTCCATCCCACTCCATTCCATCCCGTATCCCTTACCTTCCCCCCCCTCGTGCTGAACGCAAGGGTACTGCTGGCCGTCATGCTCCTGGTCTCAAAGCTGCTACTTCCCACTACTGCTGGTCACAATGGCGTCGCAAGCTGCAGTGCCGCTGGTCGCGGTGGTGCTGCTGGCCGTCGTTGGCGTTGGCGTTGGAGTTGCTGTTTTGCTGCTGACCGCCATGCTCTTTGTCGCGGTTGTGCTTGGCGCTGCTGGCTGAAAATGCGAATGAATCCAACAGTGGACGCCCCGGCGCTGCAGTGGTCGCAGTGGCGCTGGAGGCCGCAGCGCCGCTGGTCGAGGTGACGCTGCTTCCCGCCACTCTGCCGGTCGCCGTGGTCGGCGGTGGTGCTCCTCGCTGTGGTGCTAATCGCCACGGCGCTGCTGCCCGCGTGTGTGCTGGTCCCGGTGATACTGCTCTTCTCCGTTGTGCTTGGTCGCCGTGTTGCCGATGGGCACCGTACTGCTGTGCTGGTCGGCTGCCAACTGCCGTGCTGCTGTGCTGCCGGTCTCCGTGCTGCTGCTCCCCGCCGTCGTGCTGGTCAAGCCGGTGACGCTGACCGCCTGTGCGCTGGTCTCGCTACACCGATATTTGCGGCGCACCTCCTAGGGGCCTCCTGGAGGCCTCCTATCCTAGGGGCCTTCTAGGGGCCTTCTGGGGGGCCTCCTAGGGGCTTCCTAAGGGCCTCCTGAGGACCCTCCTAGGGGCCTCCTGGGGCCTCCTAGGTGCCTCCTGAGAGCCATCGCTGCAGCTGCGCTGGTCGCTGTGGTGCTGCTGGCCGCAATGCCGCTTTTTTTGCCAGCAGCAAATTGGCGAACTCACGATCTCGCATCACGCGCGCGGAGGACCGTTGAAAAAGAAAAGCTGTAGGCATTGATCTGAGCAGCAGCAACACCGTTGAAAAAGGAAAGTTGTAGGAATTGTTGTGAGTTGTAGGAACTGATGTCGGCTGCAAGAAACTGGCACACCATCTTAGGCGCGCCGTCTTGCAATCGAACGCACTGCTAAGAAACGCGCTGGCTCATCATTGCAAGACGAAGCTACATAAATAATATGTGGCTATTGATGCGCAATGCACTGGAGCATCAAAACACCATCGCGCCCCTCGCCACGACGATGCTCTCACCTCGAGACGGCAGCCCCGGCACGGCCACATACAAACACTCAGCGCGTTCGCGCTGGGTTCAAAACAAATCATGTCAGAAAACTAATGCTCTCTCACCGGCGTGTCAGAAACTAGCACAACATCCTTGGCTCGCCGTCGTACAATCGGATGTATTGTCTGAGGACGCGCTGGAACCTTCTCCATCATCCGAATACGGATCGAGTGATGTATCCGTGTCACATAGTTGCTTCATCTGAGGCTCTGCCGGCTGACGTGGCGGCGTACGACTTGAAACATGACCTACCATGTATCGAGCCACATCACCGCAAGGCTCCTCAACGAGTCGGAAAGTTGTCCAAGATACTGCGTATATAAACATTAGAAATATGACAAGTTGCAACATCGTGGTCCCGCTAGTGAAATACAACGAATAAGCATATCCAGAATACATTTTACTCCACATGTACACACCGTACGCGAAATGCCCTGCGGAAACAAATGGCCCATGGCTTAGCAGCTTTCCGAGATAGCTCTGCCTCGGGCCAAAACTCAATGCCCAGACAATTACCATCGACGGCAGGAACAACGGATTCCAAGCTTTACAAACTGCCCACCAATGTGGCACATCGTGCATTTGATGATAGATAGAGGCGACCACAATCAGAACAAAATCGACGTCCGCACACGAAACGGCAACGCCAGCCCACCTGGCTCTGTCGGAATACCGCCCATATCTGTCTTTTTCTCTCTCGGTGTCTCTCTCTCTTTCTCTCTCTCTCTCTGGGGCAAAGCGTTGTCCGTGCGGAAGTCCACGTGAGGCATCAACATGCCCAACACGAAATCGGGTGCCCGTGGCAAAGATACATACTTGAAATCCCACCAACACTGTTTCTCACCTCGCACGCGAGCAGGCCACGGTTCAAAAACAGCCTCAAAGCCGGCCTGGACTCCCGGGCATGGCCACAGACCATTCACATCGAAGGAACCATCCTCAGCAGGTATACGGCCCACGTCTTTCGCCCAGAGAATCAAAACGAAAAAAACGATCTTGCACGCACAGCACCACACGATGGCTTTGATTAAATTGTTTTTGGAGAGCTGCCCAGTCCTGCCGAAAATTGCAAGCTCAAATGCAGGGAACAAGAAATACAATTGAACAATCACCGGTACAAACCATCTGCCCATTTGCCCCATCTTCTCGATAAAGAAGAAATATTGCGGGTTTGACCACGGGAGCAAAACTATTTGAATTGGCAACTGCACAACAAACCTCAACGGCGCAAGGAAGTCAAAATCGTCGTGCGTGACCTTCGCCGCGTCGGTCTCATAGACTGCGAGGCAAAACCAATACAGAGGTACAACGCGCATCCAGCGAAGGAATATGAAAGTGACAACTTCTTTAGCCGAAGAGAAAAGCGCTTTCAACTGTCCTGGTTCCTTACGGCGCGTCAGGCTAATGACACATCCACTTAGCAGAAGGAACAAAGATGCACCATTGACCAGCAACCTCAAACCAGTGTGCTCCAGAACGATCACGGTAGCAGTGAGTATGCGGAAGCCCGTTAGAGCATCAGTGCTGCTCTGCCGACTGGCGGTTCCCTTGCCGCAGTATTTCGCCAACACCACCGCAGATGCAATCAACAAAGACCAAGTATATATTAGGTAAGTTGCGTTCTTTGCTGACTCACCAAGCGTGTCCCCCATTAATATGGTGCGCATGCCGACTGGAACTACCCTGCAAGCGCCAAGCTCCAGGACACAAACGCCTCTGGCTTGAGCTCACGTCTGAAGCCGAAATGGCTTGAGCCAAAATGGCTACGGATGCTGGCCGCAATGCCGCTGACGTCGGTAGCGTGGATCACTGCAGTTGCGCTGGCCGCAGCAGCGCTGTCGGCCATTGGAGTGGTTGTCGTGGTGGCACTGCTGCCGCACTTACGGTTAAGAACCCAGCGCAGCGTTTAGGCTTAAGACCTCCCTTTGTCGCGGTTTGCCTGTCTTCGTGCTGCTGCTCCCCAGTGCTATTCTGATCACAGTGGTGTTACGAATCGCAGCGCCGCTGGTCGCAACCAAACTCTGAGCCGAGGGAACGGTCATTAGTAAATAGTCCACAGCGGCCTCAGGTTGGGCCCCAAAGACAGGTCAAGGAAAGCACAACCGCTCCCCCTGCGTGCATCTTAGGGGGATCCTGATGGGGAACGTCAGGGGGGACCAGCTCATGGCGGTAGAAAACGAGTTTGAATCAGCAGTATTTAGCAGATAGATCGGCGACTGGCCCCCGAAAGCACATCCGCACGATCCTGGGCGAGGTGGGCTATCCAACCCGCCATCGGCGATGAGTGGACGATTGTGGGTCGAAGCCCCCCACCTGAGCCTATCCCCCCAAACGTTGCCCGCGATCGACTGCGCCAGTGCTCGAGGACTGCCCGTGGACTTCAGGCCAGCAACGGCACGCTTCCTTGGGACACCTGCTGCTCGGACGGCTCGGCACCGCTCCCGAGGGCCTCGTCCCCGCTCTGCCCGCGGAAGGCGCGAGCACGACCGCATCCGGGCCCGCCCCGGCACATTGCCGGCGGAGGCGCGCCGGAGCCCCTGTGCCACAACGCCTGCATGGCACGGTGCGGCTAGCCGGAGGATGCGGAATAGATCGCGCGCGGCAGCGTCGGAGCGGCCTGGCATGCCCGTGAGCCACGTCTTGCAAGACGGTGCAAAGGCATAGAAGTTCACGCTCGCACATGACTGTCGCTTGCAATGCACCTCCGCAGGACCTTTTTCATGTCTCATCCTCAAGCCAAGCGCAAGCAAGCGAGTCCGGGGCGGGCGCGGTGGATCACTTGAAAGTTACATGACATGGGGCTCAAACAAAACGCCTTACCATCTTGTTGCGCCTGCCGTGAAGGAGAGGAGCGTCGAGGAGGAGATGGGGGAGGAAACAAGCAGCGCTAGTATGAGGAACAGGGGTTAGAGAACGGGAAGGAAGAAGAGGACGATCAAGAAGAGGAAAAGGTACGGCAGGTCCGTGCCGTGTCGACCTGGGCGTTGGTCCCTGACGCCGCGAGGATCGTTCAACCTTGAACGATCGGCCATTTCCGTAACGTCCGATCGTTCAACATCGACCGATTCTGGGCCTCCGCCGGCATTCAATGTTGAACGCCGGCGTCGGGGTCGCCGCTGGTCGACACGACGCAAACCTACCGTATACTTTAATGTTGGCCAATGTGCTTCCATTCGGCTGGTCACCCAACGAAACAAGCATGAATAACCGTTCTGGCACTGTCTCCACACGTCAGTCTCAAGAAGAAGGCAATCGAACTCGCTTGCAGCCAACACTCGCTGCACCGACGACACACTGCACCTCTGAAAGAAACATGACCAAAGCAAGCGCGAAAACGACGATCACATCATTAAGACCGCGCCCTGCGAAACCGTGCACGGCAAACGCCATGTCACCCATATCCCATGCGCATCGGGGTCTGCTCGTCTCGCTTCACCGAATGGCGTACAAATATCCGCGGTGCAAGGCAGACATGCGCACGGCAAAAGAAGCTGAACGAGACAGCGCGCATGACATTTATCCGAACTATATCGGGGTGCCCCCGGCCACAGTAAGACAACATTGCTCAGGCATTCGCCCCACAATTGCCAGAGGATACACCAGAGATATCCAATTCCAAAACACCATATCAAAGTATCCCGTGCGCGGGTCGATTCGTACATCGCGACACGCCCAAACTAACAATACGCACAATAAACCACTAGCCAACACGTAGGCCCGAGATAAAGCGCAACGCGCACAGCCACAGATCGCGTCGAATCTGAAGGAAAGCCACAGCTGAACTCATAGCTGCACGTGCGGCAAATGCCTAGAATGCTACGCAGCGGCGCTGGTTTTCTGCACACCACCAGCACATACTCAAAAACCACTGCGAAAACCATTGCAGGCGACGCCTCCGAAACCACGTGGCACCACAAACTCATGGCTCATGGCAAAGAACAAGAAAGATGGCATCTAGCAATCAGGTGGCTACCGCGGAATGCTCCGCTGCACACCCCGGCGACGTGAAATGCCGAGCATCGCGACCGCTATCGCCGTGTGGTACAAGGGCAACCTGATTATTGTTGACGCGTACATGGGACATATTCAATGCAAAACTGGCTTCAAGAAGCACGGCCTGGAGAAAACGCAATAGGAAACGGCAACCATCAGAACGTGAGAACGCAGCTGTGAAGCAGAAGGACATGAACAGCCAGGAAACAAGCAAACAATCCAATCCATGCTCTGCCGATGCGTGGACCATTGCAAACCCCAACCATCAAAGGAACTACTCCCGTTCTTCAAATTGTGTGTGTCTCCTGGCATTCGCTGCGCGCCATGGGTCCCAAAACTCCGTGCGTCGTGCTCCCGGCTGCGTCCTTGCTGCCCCTCTGCAGCCCCCCGCTCACGTGATCCCCCCTGCCTGAGAGGAGCGACGCACGGCATAAGCATGGATGCTCGGAGGTCCGCACAGACGTTCTGGATCGGCGCTGGGCCCCCTTGCCTGGCGCGCGGAGCGGCGCCAGGGGCGGCGCCGGAGCTGCCGCCAGGGGGACCCAGCGCCGACCAATCCGCGCGGACATCCGAAGCGTATGCACATGCAGTCTGCCCTTGCTTCAATGCCTGCCGGTCCCGCGCAGCCCTGCCCCGCGTCCCCCGGCGCTGATCCAGCCGCTGCCCCTTCTCGGGGGCGGCCAAGAGGGGGGGCGTCCAAGAGGGGGGGGCGCAAATCATGGCCGGCGGCACGTGCGCGGCCCAGGGGGAGCGGCCAGGGACGCAATGAGGAACAAGAAGAGGCGCCATAGAATCTGAGAAAATACCATGGCCCACGCCATGATATCCTCCCCCCCTAGTCATCACCCCTCTCGTGGTCGCCCCCGACCTTCCCTTGCTCGCCCGCCTCCTGCGTGCTTGCTGCCCTCCTGCCAGGGCCCGCGGGGCCAGGCACCAGAGCCTCTGCGGCAGCGCTGCTGCTCCGCCGGGCAGGCACTGCGAACAGGCCGTCGGCGTGAGGCGATGCGAAGGTCACGCCCGCCTGAAGCAGACCATTTGGAAGGCACCAACTATACACCAACACCGATCCTGGCCAGGATCACCCTGGGCCCAGGATCGGTGTATACGCCCTCCTGCCCTGCGCAAGAAGGCATATACACCGATCCTGGGCCCAGGGTGATCCTGGGCCAGGATCGGTGTTGGTGTATAGTTGGTGCCCTCCGAACCATGCCCGCGCACCACCTGGATATTGAGCCAAAGTGGCCACGGAGTAGGAGGAAAACGAACAAGGAGGAGGAGAGCAAAAACGGCGGGGGTGGGGACGACCAGGGGCAGGGGCAGGGGGGTGAGGATGGGAATGAGAAAGCAGAGGGATGGTGGACGCCCAAAGGCGCAGCGGATGAGAACTGATGCGGGCATCGATGGCGCGACCTGGGGCCCTGTGGCCTCCACCCTGCGCAGCCCGCCGCGGCGGGGCGCCTGTGAAGCTGCCTGCCCCTCCCCCGTCCTCCCCACCCTCCCTGCCCCTCCGTGCCTTTCCTCCCCTTTCCGCCCTCCCGCCCCCTCCAAGTCCCCCCCTGATGCACGGGGCTGCTTGCTCTGTGGCCGCGTTGGCTTCGAAGCCATCCAGCGCGGGGGCGCCAGGGAACATGGACGTGGCGGCCGAGCTGCTGCCAAGGTGCAGCAGAGAAACGTGGTGAGCACCGTCCTCTCGATCATCATTAGTGGCCGACCAGAGGAGAGGCAGGATCACGAGTGACCTGCGTGCGTGAAGATGGACGGTGCTAGCGCCCTCAAGGACCACGTGTTTACAGCGGAAACGTTAGATCCCCGAGACAACAGGAGACGGAAACAGCGGCGAGGTCGAGGCTGCTCATGAGTAACTTGAAGCCAGTGGACAAGGGGCCGCTGCTCTCCACGCTCGTGGACACACTGGCGCCGTCAATCTTCTCCGACATCCACGTAGATGGCGACTTGGTGAAGGACGGCGGAGAGATGGTCATCGCCGAGGTGCTCGACGCCATCTACGAGCTACGGTGGGAGGGCAATGAGGCGGAGAGAACTACACGTGTGTGTGGGACGGTGCATGTGATCGCGCGGGCGCAACAAGAGTGCATGACGTACCCCGACAAAACGCTTCTATTCCCCCCGGAACGTCCGTGACGGGTGGGGGTGGGGGTGTCCTGCCGTCGTGGGGGGGTAACGGTAACGTGGCGGGCTTCCGCCTGGCACTAGCAGAAGTGGTGGTAGCAGCAGTGCTGGCAGTAGTTGGAGTACTGGTGAAGGCCACGAAAATGACGAGGGCAACAACGACCACCAACGGCGAAGGCAATGACAACGACAACGACGACGAAAACGACGACGACAACGACAACGACCGGCCAGGACAGCGACGGCGACAACGACCGGCGACGGTGACCACGACGACGACCAGCAACGACGACAACGACGACCAGCGGCGATGACGACGACTGGCGCGACGACGAGAATTAGCAGCACATAAAACAGGAAAGCAATAGTAGTAGAAGCAGCAGTAGCACTAACACCGTGTGTAGTCGCAGCGGTATTGCCCGTCCTGGTAGTACTACTCACACGAGTAGTACGTCTACTACTACGACGCTACAAAGAAATACAACTGCCACTAATCAGAGTACGGGTGCGATTGTAAATACTACACTGACTACTCAATTAATCGTAGGTCTACTACTTGTAATACGTGGACGATAACATCTCCTACTACTACGACTACGACTACGACTACTACTATTACTACTACTACTACTACTACTACTACTACTGCTACTACCACGACGACGACTACTATGACTACTACTACTACTACTACTACTACTACTACTACTTCTACTTCTACTACTACTACTACTACTACTACTACTACTACTA